CGTTTATAACTAAATGTTTCTAATTGGTTACTAACCTCGAGATCATGCTCTTTTGTAGTAGGAAGTGCTCAACGAGCTTAGGAGCTTTAGGACAAGTGTTTGTAAGTAGCACGAAGGCGGGTGCGTGCATTGATGTTTGTTATTTGGTTGCCGATGTACTGTTTATGATGCGTAATATTGGTTCTGATGCGTGGTTGTGCAACGTAACTCTTGTTTATGTAGTTTTGTATGTCTGGTTAGTGTTGAATCTCCGTCGGTGATAATAGTGTGAATTTTGTGTTGTTGAGCTACTGAGATCTGTTGTAGAATGATGTATGATTGTAGGGAATGTTCGTTAAAGTGAATCTATTTTGGAAATGTTCGTTGTCTGAATTCGTATGGAGTGTTTGGCGTGTCTCATGAATATTTATTATATCTAGCGGTGCTTATTGAATTTGGGCGTTCGATATTAAGAGTTTGGATGAATTGGGTCGGGCTCCAATCGTTTGAAATTTGTTGACTATGCTCTGTTATGACTAAACTCACTGTGGCGTTGTTGTTAGGATTTGGTATGTTGTGAAAGCATGCTTGATTTATTGTTTTGCTATTAGAATGATGTTTATGTKGTGGAAGCATGCTGAAATGTGTTGGTGAGTTGTGAGATGCATTGAAATCATACTAGTGGTGGTGTTGTTGATGGGCGTTGTGGTGGTTGGTGTTATTAAGGGGTTAGTACTGGAATCTTGGTTGGAGGCTAGAAACGATATGTGGAGTTTTGCAAATTATGAAGTGAATGGGTGAGTGTCAGGGCCTCGGGTATAAATGGTTGGGGGCTGATACGTCAATAATTGGGTATCGAGGCCTCGGGTATAAATGGTCGGGGGTCGATATGCCAATATTGGATAAAGATGAGTGTCGAGACCTCGAGTATAAATGGTCGGGGGTCGATGCGAGGAGTCTTTCGGAAGGAGAACTATTGGGGCCTTGGGTATAAATGGTCAAGGGCCAATAGATTGTAAGACATCGAGGCCTCGGGTAAAATGGTCGAGGGTCGATGCACTAGTGTCGGGGCTCTGGGTATAAATGGTCAGGGGCTGACACTACCAAAAGAATGGTTTCGAAGAGCTCAAACAACTGAGGTGATCATAGTTGTATTTGAGCTGTTAGGAAGCCAGGTGGACGATAATTGTTTTTATAAAGTTGTGGTTAATATTGGGTATTATAGAGCATGTTTATGGATGAATATATAATGTACCAGTAAAGCATGTCTATGGTTGTTCGCATACTGTAATGATAGAGCATGACGATGCATGTTTTTCCTTTATGGTTATGAGCATGATGTTTGTGAGTGCTTGGTGAGGGCTACTTACGGAGTATATTGTATATACTCACCCCCCCTTCTACAATGATTGTTTCAGGTGAAGGACTCGAGGGTGACCATGCTGATGGGGTGGGGGAGACCTGACAAACGAGGACTATAGGCTGCTTAGTTTTTCTTATTTAGTCTAATTCTTTTGTTAGGGCCTTATGTTGTTGGCAATAAACGGATTATGTACCTTTGAATAATTGGGAGATTTTTCCCTTGTTGTTAGTTATGCCTCGGGTTAGGTGCCTATTTGAGCTTTATCCCATTTGTTTAGATTCAGTTAGATTGAATAATAAACTTGCCTTGTGAACTAGTTCACGAATGTTGTTGCATGTTTTTTTTTTTGAGATTGGTTTATCGTTAATTTGATGAGGTTTGGAGCTTGATTTTATAAGTTTATGTGCATAGGAAGTTGGCAGGTTGTAATCGGGGCTAAAACTGATTAGTTGGGTAGTTCATGTGACCTAGAGGTGCGCGAAATTTCTGGGTCGTTACAGGTCTGATCTGAAAATGCATATAAATCGCTTGGAGGTTCAAAGCCTTGAGTAGTTGCCTTGGGAATAAATGACAAGGCCGAACGTCAAATTTCTGTGAATGAGTATTGGGGTCTTGGGGATAAATGTCAAGGACCAATACGCTGGGAAGTCATCGGTACCTTGGGGATAAACGACAAGGACCGGTGCACAGTTCAGGCCTTGGGAATAAATGGCAAGGCCGAACATCAAGTTTCTATAGAGGAGTATTGAGGCCTTGGGGATAAATGTC